AATGACAGTTTACGAAACATGAGAAGCGAAAGTAAACAGTAAATCGGTTGTACCTGAGGTCGACAAGAAATGAACTTTGTGATAAACTACTCGTTGCCAAAACCTGAAATAATTCAATTGTCTGCTTACAAAATGCTTTTTAAATGAATGTGACCGTCTTTAGCCTGAAATATATGCCACACTGAACGTTTCGGCATGTTTATGGTGAGTAAATGAAAACTGCGTCTTCCTAACGACTGTTTACTTTCAGTTTGTGTTTATCATGACTTACGATCTAAAAACTAGAGACGTTCCGAAATCCTGTATTGGCCGGATCAGAACTCGGCCAATACAGAAAAAAATCAATATTGGCCAAGTTATTCTGTATTGGCCGAGTTGACACTTTTATATTGCATAGGCAGTTTTCATCATATTAAGTCCAATAACAGAGTATTTAATTAAGTAAAGACTTATTGCCTTTTAACTAGATGTATATAAATTATGTATATCATTGTATATATTTTTAATTAACCGTACGTTGTTTCTGGATTTTTTTAGCTAAGTTCTATTGCATTCTTAGCAAGGGTCCTTCTCAAAAGTCTACCTATTTAAAAGTCTTGTTTTCAATTGATGCTCCTTTAAATACTTACTGCGTTTATACGCTATGATAAATATCTGTTTGTTCCCTGCGTTACGCGTTGCAGGGTACATTGAAATACCGGGCGTCCGTCCGTCCGTCTGGGTTTATTAGTGCTCTTACGGGTACAATTCTTGCTAGATTTTTATTAAACTTATACTATAGTTTAATATCAGTAATATCTCTGAAAAGTTCTAAAATAATGGTCGATTGACTTTTTTTAAAAGATTAATGTCCCTTGGAAATATTAAATTTATAGAAAATGGCCTCGTTAGCGTTCTCACAGGTACAGTTCTTGCCAGATATTTATAAAACTTATACTTTCGGTTAATATCAGCAGTATCTCGGACAATTTATATCTATAAGTTTATTTCTCTAAAGTCATAAGATGTTTGTTGAGGTCAGTTTCGTTGCTATTGTTTCTTATGTGACGACTTGTTTCACTTGTTTCACTTGTTATAGCAATTTGAAAAGTATGTCTAGGATGTGCACTTGTAATTGGGAGATACTAATAAGACATGCAACCTAACATCAAGGACACCACTCGATTTAAAACGCTTCCCTTTGTACACCTCCGTATCTAAGTACACCACTTCTGTATTGGAGAAATTATACGTAAACTTAATAATCGTGTTTTGTCTCTTTCTGACAAACCATTTCAAAGTTCGATAGGCCAAACAAAAATGTATTTTTAGAAAATTGCTGTTTTAAAGCAGCTGAACACACTTCTGTTTTAAATTTTGACTTGACAGTTGAGAAACCAGATAATTGCTAGAGACAACCAAAAGTGCTGAATCACTGAGTAAAGACCGGCAAACAGAGGTGCACCTTCCGTTTTGGCAAACAAAAGAAAAGGCATATCATTATTTAAAGCTTATAATTTCTTAATATATTAGCCTCAAATATTTTGAGTGTCCATTGAAAGGAATTTAATTGTTTATGTAACTAGATTAAGACAGATTAATGTGTTCCAGAGAACCTGTTCAGCCTATGTCAATTTGAAGTTTTTATTACTTCACTAGTATCAATGTTTAGAACTATTAATAGCAATTGAGCAGTTAAAGATAAGCATCAAAAGATTCATGTATGTGTATTAAAATTATGGTTATTGAATTTGAAGATTATGATTAAAAAAATGACAAAATTAAATACTGACAACTGATAACTGACAAAATACTTCTACCCTTCAGTGTGTGTACTGTAAGAAATAATTTGTAAATTAATCAGTCATGGGGTAGACTTTATATGGATTATTTCCCCTAATATGACCTTTTTACATATATAATATTTGTATGTGTGACCTGCAACCCGCAACCTGCAACCTGCACCCCGCAACCTGCACCCTGCAACCCGCAACCCGCAACTTGCAAAATAGCACTTCCCGATAAATGTGTCGTCCCTTTGGGATATGCAAATCATTGTAAAAATTACTTTCTGCTGGATAAGTCTTTTACTGATATAAAGGTAAACCATCATTTCTTCTCACTAATAAGAGATTTCCAATAACATGACATCCGTATGTGATCGTACGTAACTCGACGGACATACGGACCTCCTAATGGGACTGGTTATTGGCTACCATTGAATTTTTTCAAATACGTTGCTTAAGGTCAAACAAAGTATTCCCTGTCTTTCAAAATCACACACTGGAATTTTCGTCCATATGAAATAATTTTATCATGACAAAAAATGATAGAAATCTAGCATTTTTATATATCACGTATTTTTCTACAATCCCGCCTTTATTTTCACTGACATACATGTGAGATGACGTATAAACACACGTATCACATACCTATTATACGTACGACTTGAGGTATCTTTCATGGTTTTGAATATGACAATTATTTTTTAATATACTTTGCAAATGAACGCCACAGTATACTTTTTCCTGTCTATCTTTATAGTTTATCTTCTTTATATTATATTTGTTGCGGTGCAAATATTAAGAAGGATATTTTTCTGACTATTTCAGAAATATCGAAACAAAAGTTTGTCAGAATCTGTCTCTCTATTAAAGTTGAAAATTGAGATAAAACAATCACTTCCGTTTAATTTCTAAACAAAAGTATTTTTCATTTATTATAAAATGTATTGATAAAAGAAATCTATATATATGCTGATTTTTAAGAATTAATTAACGTGTGTTCGATTAGGAATTGTTCTTTACTACTTTGTTTAACGGGAATGCTATTGGAGTCCAAAAACAAAAGACATTTCCAGGCAGTTTTTTATGTATCCCTTGAAGTAAATTCACTTATAGTATTTTATCGATAAACAATTAAAAGGGGGGTCGACAAATTCATTGTGCTGAATAAATCATTAACGGAAATATGTAAGGTAAGTAACATTGAACATCATCATATAATAAGATATCGATGCCAGATACTGATCCAGGATTTTGAAAGGGGAAGGGGTATAGGTAATGATTTTTTTTTAAAACGAACGTGTTACTTTTGGTGGACAAAGGTTTCAACGGACACTTGGCATTCCTAAATTTTATGTAGTACTCTTGTACCTTGGTAAACATTAGCAAGACTTCATATTTCACCCAATTGTTATCATTCATACATTTTGACAAAATATAATCGTAAAAAGTTAAAAATACATAGTGGATCTTAAACTAAATATCCCCAAATCTGTACAAAAGCGGCTCTTCTAATAATCCATGCATGATTATAATTAAGGACAAGATATAAAAAAAACTTATTTAGTAAAGTGTAATCATATTTATTCTTGTAGATGCGTCATCATAAATTCCATTTGATAAAATTCTACGGAAAGGTGACAAAGTACTATCAGAAAGATGCATCAGTGATCTGAATTTTACCTTTGGCAAAAGTATCTTGGAATAAAATATAGAAGTATGCCAAAAAAAAGAAAAGAATCAGCAAATCGTGTTCACCTTTTACTTTCCGGCGTGTTTGAAACTCTTGTTTAATCTTATAACTTTTAAATCAAAAATGAGAATATGATCTCGATTCAGATTCCATTATTTCTATTTTTTTCAAACTTATTTTTGATTTAGTAGCTTTTTAAAAGAATTGTTCGTTTTAATAGGATATAGATATATGGGTCAAGTGTAATGACAAGTAATGATCGGTGCATTTGATTACCGGCAACTGAACTAAATATTCCATTTAAATGTTGTTGTCTTAGAAATTATCTCAAATTTAATAACAATATATGTAAAGAATTAAAATGGTAGTGTGTACTAATTTTTAAATAGCATCTATTCCAACTAAGTTGGTGTATCCAACGAGGCAAAAATTCATGCATACTATGCTCCCCTCCGTCGTCCTTCACTGCAATAGGCAGAGATACGGTCAGATAGGTTGGTTATGTCGAGTAATGTCATTTTATTGGAAATCTATATTAATAAGACTCTACGCAAGGTTTAATTCTTTCAATTCTTTTACATGTGAATGAAAGATAAAAGTCACAAAAAATATTAACTAGACAGCTATTGTTTTAACAGCCTTTATGGCTTTGGTTTTTCAGAAGTTGTAAGTTTATAAGTGTTCATTGGGTCTAGCTATAAAACCAGGTTTAATACACCATTTTCTACATAAGAACATACCTGTAACTCTTTACTCTCAAAACAGAGGTTGCCCTGGAAACCTTTACGAATTTACTATAATACTTCTTCCGTTTGAGAACTAAGGAAAATAAACGCCGGACAAAGTGGTGTGGGGATATCCCCCTTATGTCCGAAATATTGTTATTATTTAGTACTTTTTTCTGATATTTGACTGCTGTTTCCCCTTTTCATACCAAATAACTCTGAGCAACAACTCGACCTTTAATTTGAACTTGAACTCAATGGATGGCGACACTCATCCGAGGCACATTAAACAAACGACATATGGAAATCGATTTAAAAATAGAATAATGTTTTTCCAAAATGGTCACGTGGTTCTACCTCGACATCAAATAAACAAGTCGACTTTGTATTACTATGTCATTACATTTATATTAGCAAGTCGACATTGTAATGCAATTTTTTTCTTCATCATTCCGACAAGTTGACTCCACATGATGATTTGATTCCAGCTTATAACACACAACTTAACTAATAATTCCGACTTATCTGCAACAAAATAACTTTACACGTTGTGTACCATATGCGCTTCCATATGTACCAGGTCAGGAATATCACAGTAGTTATCCATTCGTTCGATGTGTTTTGATTTTGCCATTTGAATACGGACTTTCCGTTTTGAATTATTCTCGGCTTTTGGTATTTTTGTGATTTTACCTTTAATTGGCGGATACAAACTTGAGTTTTACCTGTAATAGAGGTCCTGTATTGATTACAATCGAGGACAGCTATAAATGAAATACAAGTGTTGTCTTTCATTTCTTTCTTTTTTTCTTTTTGCAGAAATGTGTATCGTTTTCGTTTAGAATGTAAAGAAGGTTGGAAACAACAATATACATATTCTGACAGTTGTGACAATGGTAAGTTAAAATGAATGAGTAAGTTGAAATATATTTTGTTTGTGCAAAGCAACATTGATCAGACACAAGTAAAACATACTTATAAAGTCTTATCCACAAAACAATATATATAACAATTCAAATTGAAAATGATCATGCATTATATAATTTAAACAACAAACATATTACTAAACTAGGAAAGGTGATGGAGAAAGAACGACAGAGATTACGATTATGGTGGCAATGATGATGATGTTCGTTTTACCTATGTTGATGTTGACCACGAGGAATAATTTTCATCTCTTTATAAAATAGTTTTTTTTTTTATCTATTTGCACAACAAACACCAATAATCCAAATTGCAGACTTTTGGAAGCCAGTATGACTTTTAAAAAGAATAGCCCTTTTATTTAAATAAAAATGAGAAGCAAAGAAAAAATCGCGCATGTCCTCAATATCCAATCCCCATTTGCATCTTGGATCAAATATACTGTTGCCTCTGAATATGTAACAATTCAAGAAAGATGCCGAACATCATAAATAAGGATAAGATTACATTCAGTTTTCTAGAGCCATGTAAATAATGTTGAGATTGATTCTCATTTCGAATGTCGTGTATTTCATACGATTGCAATTTTATTTTTCGTCCGTATTATGTTTTGGCAATGTCTGCGTCAGCGTCGGAAGACACTTTGGTTCGCAGACAATAACTTGAGTATAAGTGTATGGATCTTTATCAAATATAGCACAAGGTTCCACACCACAATCGGAGATTTGGGAATTATTTTTGGGTCATTGTCGTAGCTGTGTTGTAAAAAGGGCCAGAAAGGGGCCCAAACAATTATTTGTCTGCTTTGAAGGCAATAACTTGAGTATAAGTGTATAGATCTATAAAATTTTAGCACACCACAATAGGAATATTTGTATTATTTTTTGCACAGTTGTTGTGCATAATATGTAAATAAAATTGAGATTGGAAATGGGGAATATGTCAAAGAGACAACAACCCCGATAAAGAGCAGACAACAACAGAAGGCCACCAATAGGTCTTCAACGCAGCGAGAAAATCTCTCACCCAGAGGTGGTCCTCAGCTGGCCCCAAAAAAAATTATGTACCAGTTCAGTGAAAATGGACGTCACACAAAACTCCAAAACATATAAATTAATTAAAATTCAAAAACATACAAGAGTAACAAAGGCATACAAGACTAACAAAAGATATCTATATTATATTTTGTGGAAATTCGGCTCAATGATGTTAGAAAACTAAATTGGTTTTTGTTAGAAAATAATAAAATTTTATAAATGGCTTCATGTAATAGGATGGTAAAAAAACCTGTTATAGAGATGTAATAAGTTATTTCAAACTGATTTATCAATTTAAAAATAGGTAGTAAAAACTAAATTATTGTTAGAAATCACAAGTTTTGGGAAGCATCTTCTTGTAGTTGGATGTCATCAAAATTGATGCATAATAAAGGCATAATATGCATTCTAAATTGTTTCCTCAAATTTAAATTGAATGTGTTAAAAACTTAGTTTTCTTAAATAAGGATTAATTCTAAGAATAGTGTTTTTTTCCCAGGATTTAAATGAAAAAAGTAGCATTTGCTTTTATGAAATGTCTGGTAGCCTACTATTTACGAACATGGCCACCAAAATACTTAACCCATTTCTCTGACGTCAGTCTATTGTTCTTACTGTAGATTATTTTTCAAGAATCCACTGACCACAGTATTAACTTAAGAGAACTTATATTATAACTTTAAACTTTTAACTTACGATCTTCTATCCTTTCAAAAACGAGTGACATGTGTAGGATTCGAACCCGCGCGTATTTTCTTCATAATCAATAGAGTCTTCAGTCTATGCATGATACCACTAGACCACGATGACTGACATCAATCTTTATTTGAATAGTAATTTTAAAGCGCTTAATTGTCAATACATGTCATTTAACTGTATTTCTGTCTCATTGATAATTCGCTTTTGTAATCTAATGAAATATATATATCTTGGTTTATTCATGTTTATTGAATTTGTTTTATTTTGGGTGTTATTTTTTTTTTTAAAGAAATGGGTTAAAACTACTTCTTTGACAGTAAAAACAGAAACAAAATCATCGCCATTATATGAAAATGAAATATATAATAAATCTACATGTTCTAAGATTAAAACAATATTTTGGTCTAGAAAAAAATTACAGTGAAATAAATTTCATTCCGGATACAAGTTTCGAACTTTGCACTGTTAATATCACCGTTATGACATTCGTTACCAACGACTAGACGATCACGGCTATGAACAGCTTGATGGTAAGTTTATGAAATCAACATATTTATTCATTGTACATCCGTAGTAAGAGCAATTCTGATGGGGATTCAGAATGCGTATCACAGATAAAACTAGTTTATTGACCGGTGAACGACATATGCCAAATGTAATAACGTTAAAATAATCTTAACTTAATGAAACGGAAACAGTTTAAACAACATTTAAATATAATTGTTCAATTTAAATCGTAAGCACATAATTTTAATACTTTAGGAAAGCAACATGAATTTGAGCATTATAAAATGGCAGATTTATGGCATCAACGCTATTGATATTTATTTGACTAAGAACTGATTAACGGTGTTTCGTCTTCAATTACCAAATTATGTTGCTAAATATTATATATATAAATTTTGAAGGTTCTAAATTTTGGTAATTAAAATTTTTTAACTTTTCAAAACAAGATAAATAAATTCTGTATATTAATTTTTGTCTTTTTGAATAAATTAAATATACCAAAATCTATTCAATTTAAATAATTTGTAATGATTAAACATTAAATGAAATATGTATATACAGAAATAAAATCTGGTGTTAAAAAGGGGAGCTAACACCCCATTTAAGTTATCTTAAACTTATGTTAACTTGTCAAATGTCTAAATATAGATGCGAACCGTGTGGATATAATCATTTCCAGCTATTATATAATAAAAAAGACAAAATACGAAACTATTTTTATTAAATATCGTTGATTCATTGTCAAAACGTAAAACAGACAGTCGTTTTACTAGACATGGGTTAAGCTAGAGAATTGATAAGAAGTAGTGGATTCGGAAACGATAATCAACTTGCGACTAAAGTCGCTCGTTGATTATCGTTTACGAATCCACTACTTCTTATCAATTCTCTACTACATAATGCTTGAATTTTTCACAAAACATGTATTAATTGAGAACACACACTTAATAAATTGCTGGTGTCAAAATTTATGAATATTGAGAACTTTTGCGTTGTATGCATTAGTCCTTTTGACTCCCATAAAAGAGTGAAAGCGGGACACGTGGCTTGCTGACATGTCAGTTTATTAGTTTTTTTGTTGGAAACTATTTTGCCACTTCCTCACTGAAATAAATCATTCATGTACAAACAGATAAAACAATTTATTTAAAATAAACATCTCCCACAAAAGATGAATTACCTGTGCCTTAATTATGTTACATCTTTTTTTTTGTGTATGTTGGAAAAAAATCTGAGAATAAAGTGAGAAATGATTTAATACTGCTTTTGATGTATCAAAATAGTGTCAATTTGATCTCTTTTACTGTTTATGAAGTGAAACATATCTAAGAATAATGAGACAATTAGTTGAAATAATACACGTCCGATACTACTTTTTGTAGCAATATGTAACGGAAAATCTGGACCAGATGCTTGTAATATACGATATAAGCTCCCTTACTGTCAGAAAACAAGAAAAGAAAAAAACCCAATCTGCGACAGTGGAGGGAGTTGTATTTTTCCAGATATTTGCTCAGACTGTGACGATGGATTCTATAATGATGGACCATACTGTCGAGGTAAGCATCTCTTGGTCATTGTATCAACTGAAACAATGAACCTTATTCAATAGACCCTACTTTCACAATACAGCTATTAGGCCGTTGTTCAATCTGTTACTATGAATTATAATCAGATATACCATACTGTCAGGGTAGATATCTATATGCCTTTGTTTCAGGGTAACCCTATTACTATCAGAGTATATAGCTGAAGGCTTTGTTTCAGGGTAACCTTATTACTGTCAGAGTATATAGCTCAAGGCTTTGTTTTGGGGGTAACCTTATGACTGTCAGAGTATATAGCTCGAGTCTTTGTTCCAGGATAACCTTATTACTGTCAGAGTATATAGCTCGAGTCTTTGTTCCAGGGTAACCTTGTTACTGTCAGAGTATATAGCAAGAGTCTTTGTTCCAGGGTAACCTTATTACTGTCAGAGTATATAGCTGAAGGCTTTGTTTCAAGGTAACCTTGTTACTGTCAGAGTATATAGCTCGAGTCTTTATTCCAGGGTAACCTTGTTACTGTCAAGATTATATAGTACGAGTCTTTGTTCCAGGGTAACCTTATTACTGTCAGAGTATATAGCTGAAGGCTTTGTTTCAGGGTAACCTTATTACTGTCAGAGTATATAGCTCGAGTCTTTGTTCCAGGGTAACCTTATTACTATCAGAGTATATAGCTCAAGGCCTTGTTCCATATATGTATATATATAAGAGAGATCTTGTTTTGATGATAATTTTTGCTTTTTTACCATTTCTATAGAAAAAAGATTTATATTGAGGAATTTTCTCTTTGGTCCATCTGAAAAGACCTTAAGATATTAACACTGACATTATGATCCAGCTGAATAGAAATAAAATTGCCCTTGAACAAAACCTTGGGCTATATACTCTGATAGTAATAAGGTTACCCTGGAACAAAGCCTTATATATAAGTACGTCTGAACCAGTGACAACTCTACAACAGATTAATTCATCGGATCACCAGCAGTGATGGCGATACAACGCTGACAATACATTTTGTATATACAAGTCTTCTAAACATCAGCCCAACAATGTTAGATCTATAAATTTGCTTTCGCAAGTTTTTTTGTTCTTCCCTCACCGGGATTCGAACTCTTGCATTAGTTTGTAGGATCCGTTACAATAGATAATTCAGCTGATCTGTAACAATTCCATCTTCATGCCTTATATATCATGTACTGTATTACGACGCTAGATTAAAACTGACGAGGAAAGGTAACATCCGGCCACCGAAAGCTTTATATTTGTGAAGCATAGGTGGTCGTGTGGTCTAGCGCGTCGGATACAGTGCAAGGCGATTTGGTGTCACGATATCTTAGTAGCATGAGTTCGAATCCCGGCGAGGGAAGAACAAAAAAGATCTAACATTGTTGGGCTGATGTTTAGAAGACTTGTGTGTGTATATATATATATATATATATATATATATATAGGCAATATGACAAATCTTCGATCCCTGGTAGGATTTTAATGGCCATTGTTACTCATTTATTTTGATTTTGGCTGTTATGTTTAAAACTAAAATAGAAAAGAAAAAACGTTAACAGCAAAAATAATTCAGAACAACAATCTATCAATATGATCGAAATTGTCTCTTGACTTATTATTGGGAGTAATTGCCTTGAAACTGTAAAGAGCAAAACTGTTCATCAAGAACAATATGCCAATATGACTGAAAATGTAAGTTGGCTACTTATTGGAGTTATTGCTCTTAATGACAATTTTTAACCAGTGTTAGCATTTTTATTTCGCCTGCGACAGTCGCAGTATGCGAGTCATAGTGATAACAATTGGGCGGCGGCATAACCTAATTGTATAATGCTTTATATTTCAGAAGATAGAAGTCATGGATGCTTTATACCTTGAATATGTCACGAAGTTTCCGTCTGTCATATGCCCATTGTTCTTGGCCTCATTTGCATGGCTCAGCGACTTCATAAAAAACTATTTAGTTTTATTTTGTAATGTGAATTTCTCACTTATGAAGAGCAATAGGATAATAAATTGTCATTCCATAATATTCATGAGTTATTGCTCTTGAATGAGGATTTTTACTTATTTTTCGTGTTTTGGACAAAAAATATAGTATATAGAGAGAAATAGTTAACAAACTAGAGGCTCTCAAGAGCCTGTGTCGCTCACCTGTATCTACTGTGGTTTTGGAAATCATGTAAAATGAGGTTTAAATCATGATAAATAGCATTAGATACCCAAATAATGATTGAGGCCAAGTTTGGGTTAATTTGGCCCAGTAGTTAAATTAAAAGCAGGTCATCCCACTAGTAACCAGACTTACAATAGATACTGAAGACCCCTTATCATTATTTAAATTAGTTTTCAAGTTGTGACCATTTGAAATTTATTTTTTTACAATTTTCCCTTCTTCTATAGTAAATTCCTATGTTCTATTTTTAGCCATGGCGGCCATGATGGTTGGATGGCAGGGTCATCGGATACTTTTTTCAATCAAGATACCCTATCTAAGTTTAATTCTATTTGGCCCAGTAGATTAAGTGGAGAAGATTTTTGTAAAAGATTACAAAACATTTACGAAAAAAATTGTAAAAAATTTGGCTATAAAGGGCAATAACTCCTTAAGGAGTCAATTGAAAATTTTGGTCATTTGACTTATTTGAAGATCGTACTTTGCTGAACATTATTGCTGTTTACAGTTTATCTCTATCTATAATAGTATTTAAGATAATAACCAAAAACTGCAAAACTTCCTTGAAATTATCAATTCAGGGGCAGCAACCCAACGACGGGTTGTCTAATTCGTCTGAAAATTTCAGGGCAGATAGATCTAAAACTGATAAACATTTAACCCTGTCAGATTTGCTCTAAATGCTTTAGTTTCAGAGATATAAGCCAAAAACGGCATTTTACCCCTATGTTCTATTTTTAGCCATGTCGGCCATGTTGGTTGGCAGGCGGGGTTATCAGACACATTTTTTAAACTAGATACCCTAATGATGATTGTGGTTAAGTTAAACTTGGCCCAGTAGTTTCAGAGGAGAAGCTTTTTGTAAAAGATAACAAAAATTTACGAAAAATTGTTAAAAATTGACTATAGAGGGCAATAACTCCTTAAGGGGTCAATTGACAATTTTGGTCATTTGACTTATTTGTAGATCTTACTTTGCTGAACATTATTGCTGCTTACAGTTTATCTCTATCTATAATAGTATTCAAGATAATAACCAAAAACTGCAAAATTTTCTTAAAATTACCAATTATGGGAAAGCAACCCAACAACGGGTTGTCTGATTCGTCTAAAAATTTCAGGGCAGATAGATCTTAACCTGATGAAATGCTTTAGTTTCAGAGATATAAGCCAAAAACTGCATTTTACCTCTATGTTCTATTTTTAGCCATGTCGGCCATATTGGTTGGCAGGCGGGGTCATCGGACACATTTTTTAAAAAGATACCCTAATGATGATTGTGGCCAAGTTTGGTTAAATTTGGCTAGGTAGTTTCAGAGGAGAAGATTTTTATAAAAGTTAACGACGACGGACGAGGGATGCCAAGTGATGAGAAAAGCTCACTTGGCCCTTCGGTCAGTTCCGATCAGCAAAACAATATCAACAAAAAAAAAGTCATGAATTATATTCTAGTCTACAATGTTGGAGTTTAAATCAATTTTCGTAATTATGTTGATCTTGTTTTGCTGATAGCAATTGTTGAAGATGCGCATAGATTTGGGCGAGCGACACGGACTCTTTAGAGTCCCTAGTTTAAGCGTATGTTTTCAAAGATCATATTGGATTTATAATTTTGAATCATCATTCATCATATTCTTACACCCCAGTTCTATTGTTATACTTCATAGTTTCTATTTCTGAAACAAGTGTAAATTGAATAGATCTATTGTAACGAATAACAAAGGATTTTGACCACAGGGTGTGACGAGCGGGGTTTCTGGAAAACCCTGCTTCTACATCCCGCAAACAAAGTCCATTGTTATTCGTAACAATAGAAATTGAGTATTATTTAAATAGCATGAACATAAGAAATTACTAATAGTGTTCACTACAAATTGTTTCAAGATATTAAAAAACACATTTTAGAAAATTCCAATAGCGAAAAACAGAATTAAGCATCTATTTTGAATACAAAAATAATCCTTTAAATACTCCTTTGCTTGAAGTAATTTTTTTATCCCAGTCATATGTCTCTATTCTAAAGCATTGGTCTTTAAAAAAATGGGGAGTCTATCTCCCGGGACCCCCTGGTTACTCATTGGCCGATCTGGGGTGGGTTTCCTCGGTTCGGACCCCAAAAAGATCAATGCATTTGAATGGTTGGACCCCCCTTTTTTGTTGAGTTGGGAACACCCAGCTAGATCAGCCCCTGTTTGCCCTCCAAAAAGGGAGTTCTTAAATATTAAATCTGTATCTTTGTATGTTGAGCGTGTCTGGTAGTCGGGTCACACCTATCCCTTAGTATGTCCGAATATGAATGTTTGTTTATTCTCGAGATAAGGGGGAGGGGGAGGGTGTTATAAAACCATAAGATATAAAATACTGTTATAATTACCTTTATAACACTGATACCGGTCAGTACTTTGGGTTATAATATTGCCTTTATCTTAAGTCTCTTCTACCAAATCCAACGCTTGCCACAAAATGTCGTCCGTCTTATACCCGTCCATATTGACAACTGCATACAAGGAACATGATGTTTTGTTTGTTTGTAATAAGAATACACGAACCTTGACCCTCTGATCCATATTAGCACAGGATTTAACGGGAATATGCAAAACAACTTGACATTTGTAAAATATACTCACTTGTCAAATTTTGAACGAAGGTAACCAAAGAAAGGTTACTAGTGGGGTTTCATGTAATAAAAAAAAATTCTTATAAATCATGGTTTGGTATTGTCAATAAATATGCTATCGGTTTTTTTATTCATTTAATAATCAATGTTAAAAGATATAGGGTTTAGAATGGGGTGTAAGTTAGTTATACACCTCGGGATACGGTGTGTCTGGATAAGAAACCCCTCGGGGTTTCTTATCCAGACACACCTATCCCTCGGTGTATAACTATTACATAATTGTTTATATTTTTTTCAGTATGTGGGACCATTGATCACTGTAATCACAGAAGGTGCACTAACTCTTACAATCAACACTGTGAATGGTGTGAAGGAGAAATTATGCCAAAACAGTATTGGAGAGCCTACATTAGTTCTTTTGACAAAAGAACATGTCAGAGTAAGTAGAGTAATACCCTTTTCTAAGCTGGTGGTGTTCTAAGATAGACACTTTATGAATTATACTCTCTGCGACAAAGTTCAGGAGTATTGTGGAATCACTCTGCCTGTCTGTCTGTCTGTATGGGAAATTTTGAATCCCAGTTTGTGAAATCCAGGTTCAAACTTATAAATGCCTGGAAGGATATTTACGATTCCTGATATTTTGAGAGTATGGCATGATAAGGGCTAGAATGTCTGTCTGCAAGGGCAATGTCACGAACTTAACATCCCCATATTCAAATATGCATAGTTGTGGCCAACTCAGAACTTTTTGAAGGCTCTCACAGATTTTTATATAATTGTGAATCAAAAGCAGATAGTGTCTTTCGAATGAGGTTGGAATGTCTGTCAATAAGGTCAAAGTCAATACTTTGTATATTGAAACGAAGTCGGTGGTGTCTATGGAACTTTTATACATGTATCTACAGGACCACAACCCCAAAACATTTCCTATAATTAATTTTAAGCTAAGGTTCTGCTTCTGCTTTCGTTCTATGACTTTAAAACTACAGATATATCTATGTGTCGAATAATTTAAACTGCTTTTAGGTATGTTTTTTTACTGTTTTATACCACAATTTGTAAGTGTTTAAATCCTGTCTACTGTAAATTCAGAAATTATTGCGATGTTTTTTTTTGCGAAAAATGCGAACGGGTTATAATCGCAATAATTAAAACTCGTATTTTGAAAATTTCTATATGAGTTAAACAGGATTTTTCTCAATATCGCAAAATTTAAATTGCATTTTAGTCTAAAATGACAAAATCGCAATAATAAATGCACGCAATAATTTCTGAATTTACAGTATTTACAATATAAAATATCTGCTTAACCCAATACCTAAGTATCCTCTTCATACTATTCCTCCTCTTTAACACTAATCAAACAGTTGTGATAAAGAGTGACTTGTCTGCTGTTATAACTTGATGCTAACCTTTGACATTGTCTGTAGTCCGACTTTTAAAGTACCAAAATATCTATTACAATATATGATAAAGACTTTGTTTACTACAACTAGGGGACAAGACCTGGCTGTATAACAACAGACGTTATCGATATAACAGATGTAGTACACAAAAAACGAGTGATGGCAACCTTAAGTGTTCTAATACAAGTGACAGTAAATTATCTATCTCATCAGTTTCATGCTACATATATCAAAGAAAATCTAAGATATGATATTTCTTAGTATGTTGAATTCTTATATGAAGAACCAAATTAATCCTTTACAGTTAGTTTCAAAACAAAATCTACCACATGTAAACTAACCTAGTGTTGTAGTTTCAACATTGATAACAGTGTAACAGACAGACGGACAAAATGAAACTAGCCCGACCCACTGATAGTGTTCGTTTCGAGGGGGAAAACAAAATGATAACCCGACTTTTCAAAACATAGATATTTACACAAAATAACTGATAAGGCGTCGTCTGTCTTTATCCATCCATGAATAATTCACATGTGTTTGTCCTGTTGGAAACCACTAAACAGAATAAACCTAAACTTGACAGAGGTTTTTTCGCAAAAGTGTTTGTAGTGTCATACGGTGAACTATATATGTTTATTTCGGCTATTTTATATTGCTGGTTGCTGTATCATTTACTCTACAATTATGGTTCCATTGGTTTATTCGCTTTCTAATATGATGACTTCTATCTGAAATACAAGATATTCACTTTACAAAATGCAAAGATGGTCATCTCTGTTTAGTTGATTCAGTCAGTATTGCGCATAGATACCAAGTGAGCAATGCATGTATCATGAAGTTTTTTTCATAAAATTTATTAGTCTGGTAAACTTATTTTGTACATCCAACATTCATGTATTTATTTTTGATGTTTCTGTTATGGTTTCGGTTGGATAATGTGTTATGTCTTATCGTTTGTAGTCCAAATAATTATAAAATTGCCTTTCAAAACCATCATTTTCATGAAAATTGTATGGACTGGTATTGTGAAAATAATTGTATAAAGTTCGAGATTGCATGTTTGTTACGTAATTGCGTCCCTGTTTGTGATATCTTGTGGTGTCTGTCGTTGATGGAAAACGTTCGTTGTTGTTCTGCGGTTTGCATGTTGTGTCGACTATTATATTATTTGTTTGTGCGTTTCTCTATGATGAGTGTTCTTCCGTGTGTATGTACTGTATTTCTGTCACGTATTGTTTTCCTTTTAGCAAAACATGTTTAGCATTATCATATAAGCAAGAGGTTTGGCTAGCCATAACATCAGGTTCAACCCACCACTTTTTCTTAAAATGTTCTGTACCAAAGTCAGGAATATGGCAGTTGATATCAAATAGTTCGTTTCTATGTATGTTGGTGTTTGGTTTTTTTTTGCACTTCAGTGTTCCTGTTGTTCTTTTGTTTTCCTGTTATACTTGATGTGATTCCCTCGGTTTTAGTTTGTAACCAGGATTTGTTTTCTCTCAATCGATTTATGGCTTTTGAACACCGGTGTACTACTGTTGCCTTTATTTGCCAACTTACGTATAAGGAGTTCATCCTTTGTAGTAAAACTACATTTTATATTTGGTGACAAATAAGAGATATGTCTTTATAAAACCTTTCATATTTAATACACTGTTACCAGCTTTTATGTAAAATAAATGTGATGATCTTACATAAGGATAAATACAATATGATGTTATTCTAAATTTACAGAGGCTTGTTCCTGGAGAACAGATAGTACTCGCTGTTTCCCTGGAACGTGTACTTATGAACTTGCCAGTAAATGTAAATGCAATGCTTACTTTAGTGGACGACATTGTGAAAACAGTGAGTATAGAACTGATTTGCATTAGACAGGGAATCAGGCTACTTTAACTCATAAGTACCAGTTCAATTGTCAGTTTAAAACAATATAATATCAATTATTAATGAATTCAGGATATGCAATTTTGATTATTGTAAAAAGTAATCGGCAGAGGGTTGAAGCTGTAGATAAGAATTTTGCTTAATTATAAGTCAGTTGAATTTATTTTTGAAAACAGCAAGTTAAAGCATGTTTCTTTTAAACAGAACCAACACATTAAAGAAAGACTTTACATTGAATTGAGTTGTAGTAAAACAGTTCATCTGTTGGAAGGGCTTATAGTATTGTAGTCTCTATTCTTCAGACTAGTCGGAAATTTAGAAAAAAATGTCTATTCTTCCGGTAATCCTGTCCTCTGCTATAATGCTATTTTCCCGGCCATACACATAACAATGATAAGTGAATATGTTGTGTCAAGTGGTTAGTGTAGCATCCAGTGGAGAATGTAGTGGCAAAAAATACCTCCCGTGCAAACACTGGCAATGTTTTCGTTTCATGAATTATTATCTTTTAAATTTACATATTTGACTGCATTTTATTTATAAAGATCTATAATATTTCTTACAGAGAAATATTCGACTTACATAGGGGTTTATATTTAAGGACAACAAGAAGTGACAATAATGTGAATTGGTCACAAAAACATTTCCTACATCTCTTTTTACTCCTTTAAAATATTACTTTCATGCTTTTATTGTTATCGAATGATTAAATCTTTATTACTTTCAACTAGGAACATTTGAACATCATACTGTTGATATTGAATAATAAATAAGAACTGAATTTTTCATATAGCTTACCACTAAAAGAAAGTCATTAATGCATACATTTTTTCTTTTTTTTTTTGTAGTTGACAACACACCAACGATACTATACAATTATTGTAAATTTTATGATAAAGATGGACATAATGTATTAGAAAATAATGGTAACTGGAACACCCCTGGCCATCCAACTAAATGGACAAATTATGATGGATATACAAAAGTTTCAGTTAGTCTAACAGCAAAATATTTGCAGCCAGGAGTCATAATTACTAATCATTATGTGAAAAAGTACAGTATTGGCTTAATTGAGGGAAAAGTAACTCTTTATTATTGTAAAGGTATTTATATATCATTGTGTTACAATCTACCTTTTTAAAGTAAAATTAACTTAATATCAACTATTTTCAGCATCAACAGTATATCAGCATAAGACAATCTATTCAATGAAAAAAGTAAATTATTAAGTCGGGGATTTCGTAACCACAACCCAAACAAAAAAGAAATTGAGGAACAAATCATGTTAACAATTGATAACCAAATTGTATGACTTCTTTATGATGTGAAAGTGATAAAGTTTCACATGCAAATGAGCAAACAAATCACAACAACTAATCACAAACAAATTGCTTCTAACTTATATGCAAATCATAAACAAATTGTCAAGAAATGGTTATCAAATCTTTAGCAAATCAGAATGAAATCATATTCCTACCTCAAGCAAATCGTAAACAAATTATTTCAAATAATGAAGAAATTATAAACACATTGTTATCAAATCTTTAACAACAAAGAAGTAAATCATGTTCCTTCTTCAAGCCAATCACAAGCAAATCGTCAATAAATTGACATAAATCATCGATTCACAGAAAAAATAATCTACATCTGGATCAAAAATCTGTTCTGCCCCTGAAACCCCCAAACTTTGTAATGCACTTGTCTTTATTTTTACCTTAGCTACTCCTCTGATTTTTAAGGGATCACTTTTTCTGGATGCCATAAGGGACGAGTTGTTCCCTATGTGAAAGGTTTCTCTCACACGTTCTCCCGAATTTGACTAACGAGATTTGACAACCACATGGACAACCACGTTTACTAAAAGGATGTCGAATAGGCAATGGGTCTTAGTCTGGGTCCAAATCTGATAATGTATCTTTGCAACTACAGCCCTTGACCTGGCCAGTAAACATCATGAAAAATTAGAACATTAAACTTGCCAGTGAATTTTGACCCGGCAAGCTAGTGTTTAAATGTAATTGCTCAATCTGTTTACACGTCTTTTACGCATATTTTTTTTTTAATTTATCTGTTGACTTTAGTAAGTCATACTGAAGACCACTTAACATAGAAATATCCATAGTTGGAGTTAGGGCTATCTACACTACACTGTGAAAATCTTTTTGAAATAGAGAAGGACAGATTTTTTAATTTGAATTTTTTGTCTAAAATAAAACTGTTCTCGGGCTAGTTACCTACAGTTTTCATTAGAATTCTTTGACTGCACTAGCTATTGTCTACCCAATGTATCCTTAATTATGATTCCTGTATTAAGCTTTGACTTTCGGCTGACTTCATATTTTTATTTGTATGCAATTAAAGAACCTTTGTGAGCACGCTCACATACCCTCGCCCCCACAATGTCACTAGACAAACACAATCTCACCAGATTCAAAGACTCATTACTCTACAAAAGTCAACTGATTTAAATTTTCTTGTGGATATGCACATAAACATTTAACGTCTTCATTAACTACACAGTTTCATGAAATTATGTTGTGTGGTTTCATAGGAGTTTCGATTACAAACTTTTTCAGTAGTATATTTCGGCCAAAATTTTAAGTTCAAAAGGGCATAACTCCTAGAAAAAAATTGATTTATAATTTCCTGTCGATATGCACATCTACATAGTATGTCCTTTTCATCTACAGTTTCATGGAATTCTCTTGTGTGGTTTCAAAGGAGTTGCGATGACAAACTGTTGCAGTAGTATATTGAGGCCAATAAGTTCAAAGGGGCGTAACTCCTGGAAAAAAATTTGAATCCTAATTTCCTGTAGATATGCACATCTACATAGTATGTCCTTATTATCTTCAAAGTTTCATGAAATTCTGTTGTGTAGTTTCAGAGGAGTTGCGATGGCAAGAACAGGACTGACGGATGGAGTGACGGACTGACAGACAAACGGACGGACGTGTCAAAAACTTTATACCCGACGCAATAAATTGCGTGGGGTATAATAAAATATAATGATGATAAGAAATGGTAAAATTACAAAAAACCTCTTCACCTAAAATATCAATGATATTTATACCGAGTGTGAACAAATATGTGTGTACACGTATCATTACATTTGTTTGTCATCATAGACTGTTCCTTTGCATTATGATCTTAAAAGGTAAAAGGAAAATTCATTAGTAGAGGTATTTTTTTTAAAATAAATTTGTTAACCGTTCAAAACTTTATACCTCCCTATGCATCCTATAGGTTGCACTTTGTAAATACAGCTGTTTCACAAGCCATGCCTCTTATGGGGAGATATATAGTATTCATAGATATGTTAATTTGTTTACGTACTGGTTCCCATGTATGATCTCTGTATTTCATCTCATAGAGACATATTAACTTGGGAATGTTACCAGTATGGAAAAACAGGGTTGCGCCTTAAATTTAATTCTTAGGAAGTCCAATAGTGGAGGTAGGGGTAGTTGGGTATTTTAGTATCACTACTGTAACAACAGCCCATGAAAAGGCCGTGAAATGTCTGTGAAATATCACAGGGCCGTGAAAACCCCGTGAAAATACCCCGTGACTTTTGTAAAAAAAATATTTCTAAAGGCCGTGAAAAATATTTGATGTTAGAAAAAGGCCATGAAATTTCAATATCCCGTGAAAAGGCCGTGATAACTTGTCCTTTCATGCTTAATAAAAAATATCACGGCCTTTTCACTGGTTGTTGAAACCAGTGAAAAGGCCGTGATATTTTTCATGTCAATTTTTTCTTATCCTAATTCAGATTTAAAACATCCCATGTGATTATTGTAATATGGTCTAATTATTTCCACTCACATTTTTCTAAATATCCTATAAACTTTTCATTACAAATATATGTCTGTTTAAATATTATTATATGCAATACTACTGTACAGGACTGACTTTTAGATGGAACCATTCATTGTTATAATTAATGACTTTGTGCCAATAAATATTTTGTATTTAAAGAAAAGTATTTTGCTTCTCCTCTGAACATTATTATAAACAATGTAAACATTAATTTGAATTGGAACCGAAACATGTAAAAACGAGAACTTCCCGGAATATCAGACCGTATCCGGATTCGTGTTTCTTTTAGAGTAATTGTAACATTCCCGCACTTAGGTTGGAAATTTGAAAGACGCCGAAGGTCGATTAATATTTACTTTATAGATGTAAGACGAGTGACAGCAAGTTTGAGGTAAGTTAAGTTATTAATATTTTATTCTTTTATGCATCATATCACCAAAATGTTGATGACGTTTGTGAGCATTTCCTGGAATCCATTGAACTGATTTTGACTGAATTTGCAGAAACCGCGCAAACATGCATGTGATATATATTCACTTATATTTGAGTCTGTTGCACTTGATTCCTTTAATCATTTCGGTTAATGTTTTCTAAGACTTACCGGATCCTTTAAATACGATTACGGTTTTGTTTTGTTTATGTATTTGGGGAAAAAAAGGGGGGGGGTCCTTTTTCCCCACACTGGCCACATAAAAAAAATGACATTTATGTACAGTACACTAAGTAGACATAGACATAGACATATATAATTGGAAATGATTATAATAGCAATAAGTATCTCTGAAATGGAGTTCACTCTGATAATCAGAGGCGTAACCCCCTTTGAATTTGTCGGGAGCTGTTTAAGTATTTTCTGACTTGGCCGTCGGGACACAGAGTTCAAAAGGGATTAATCAGAGGCGTAGCAGGGAAGTATTTAATATTTGTACGGCAAAATGTCCTTTCTAGAAGGGTTTGTGCCATATCATAAGAATAATTGGTATGGCAATGAGGTGTTTAAAAAATAATTGGTATGGCGAACGTGTCTGCATTAAAAGTTGCTACGCCCCTGGCCCCCTGTAAAATAAATAGCTGTGACTCATTACGGCCACTTAGTCTAGACAAGTTTGGCTTTAGCCATACATTGTACATATTATTACTTCAAAGAAAAATTTTAATTTAATAGTCTGTCTTAAAAGTGTCTTTAGTCTTTAAAAAAATCTAAAAAAAATAAATAATACAAAACAATAAGTTAACAATACAGAACTTCGTTAACTAATGATGCCATATATATTGGATAGGGGCAGATTTTCTGGAAAATGGTATGAAAATATGGGAAAACCTATGCAGGTTTCCAAGTGGCTGTTCTGTTTCAATGATGTTTTTTTTGTATTTTTCATACCATTTTCACCTCCAGTATGAAAATCTGCCCCCTATTCAATATGGGGTCATTAACCGTGAAGTCCTGTATTGCATGGAATAATATTGTAGCTGTTTTAAGTACATGTATGTACATAAATGCCAAAAATTAATTTGAATATATAAATAGTTTTTTTATATACATGTATAATATATGTAATGTTTCTTTATTTATTCTAGGAATGAAGAGCAAACGGATATAGCAGTCTTTATATAAAATAGTTCAGGAATCCAGTTGGAAAGAAGAGCTTTTCAGTTAAAAGTATTTCTTGGGAATTAACAGGAACTTCTATAAATGTTTTTCTGGAATAGTTATTCAAAGGGGCAGTGAAGTGAAGGATAACATTAGACAAATATTGCTGAAGAGGTAAAATCAGACCAAAGAGATGTACAAAATTTCTACAATACATGTTACAGCTGACTTTAGCTACTTAATCACATTGACATTTGTGTGCTTTTATGTTTTCTTTACATAATTACTACAGTTCTATTAAAATTAATATTTTTATTCTTTGTCACAATTATTACTTAAAAAAAATACAGCATTTTAAATGGTTTTTCATAGTTTCACTTGCATTGTACTTAAATAAGTTGTCTGTAGATGTTTACACTAGGTTTTCAGGCATTTCACTTCACTTGATTGAAACAGCATTTAAATTTTTTGTTAAATTATGGCCTGAAAAATACATTTAACATTTTACAGGAGTTTTCACAATCAGTGAATGGCTGATTATCACAGTAGTACATGTACATTTCACGGTCTTTTCACAATGGGCACATAATTTATCACGACTATTTCACGGTGTACATTTTTGTTTTCACAGGGTTTCTACGGTCTCTTTACCCAAGTTTTCAGTTGGCACCTTTTCACGGCCTTTTCACG